AGCTTCAAGCATCAAGTTTTATCATGCGACATCCGATTTGCCAGTTTCGCCTGCACTCTAGTCTCGCTCACCCATCATCCCTCACGACATAAATCATTTGGATGTTCACCAACCGTCTGGACCTTTTAAGAAGTGCTTTTTTCGTCGTTGGACGCCAGGAGGGGTAATATACCGATTTTGTTGGCCTGTGGAACTGTAGACTCCATAAGGCGTAGGGACAATATAGTTAGATATGGACCCAGGGGGAATTCCATTAACTAATAAACTGAATGGGAGTAAGTAGTACGATGTGATGCGGTTTTGATTACCTTACGATAAGCTACCCGTTTTTAGTTAAATGACACGTTCAACCGAGTTTTTGTCTTGAAAACTAAACTGTATTTTTAAGATTTTGTACCTGTCTGCTCGATTCTTTGTGTGTATACCTATTTGGCCTGGTCTTCGAACATTGCACTATCTCTAGAAGCATTATCTAGTGACCGATACCCTGTCTATACCAATGCGAGTTGCAGGAAGTAGTTGAGAAGGCGATTCAACCGCCGGAAAATGTTTTATTCGCCTGACGTCTTAAATTAACTCTCGGATCCCCCATCGCTGTTCCCAGTGCCAGATGGCCGAACAATTACCACACCAACAAACAACGCGGATGACGAAATTTCGGCAGTTAGCGCGACTAGACTGCAGGCTATCAAGCCATTATCGCACTAAGTGCAATCATCCATCATGAATCCCGGAGGCCGCCAATCTTGATAGGTATGCAGTGGCAAAGCAACTGCATCCTATAAATACCGCTACCTGACGCTGTCTCTGATGGTGGGCTGGTGCGTGGATCATTGAGCGTCTGCTTTGCCATGATCAGCGAACCATGGCCCTCGCAGACTGCTGTTTAATGACAGCTCCCTGGCCCCTTGTTCCTCGCCGTAGATGCGCTGGCGCTCCTGCTGAGTATACAGGCCGTTCGCATGGTTGCCCAATTAGTCTTTCTGACCCATTGTTGTGCTGTTGTTAGTTAAAATCTAGGTTAAGTGTTTGTTGTTGGCCAGGGGGTTTGGTAGTACGCTTAGATGGGGGTCCGGCCGTGCCAGCCACCTGCGTCCTCCCTCACTTCCGGTCTTCTTAAATATGTCTTGACACCGGGCGCAGGTGGGGAGGGGAGAGTGCAGTAGGAGCTATGCAAGTCCACTCTCACTATAAACTTATTTGCGCGCTAGTCACTGTGCCTGCTTCACCTTGCCTCAGAACATACGATGGACATCGTGGGTTTCAACGGCCGTATCCAGAATGCCTGGCGAATAGAAATCTTGTTCCACTTACCGCGCCCCCCTGTCGACTGGTTTGCGCGTCCGAATGTCCGCTCGGATTTCTGCCTCTTTCAATTCGTCGATCTTAAAACAGGTGACTTTATACCAACGAAGGGTGTGATGAACAAAGGCATCTGATGGTAGGGGGCGCGCACCGATCGTTTCATTCTGTCTTACGAGCTCTCTCTCTCGAGCCCAACCAGCAGCCGCACAGCGGCGCATGATATATAGGCAGAATGGTATTACCAGTCTCCCTTGTCTTTGTCGGTAATACTATTCTGCCTCAAGTTTCATCTGTTGACACGGTAGGCGCAGTTGTCACTACTGTGCTTGATGACTTTTCTTATAAAAACCCTCAGACGCGCCCTGTAACCGACCTATGTTATTGTCGTTCTTGCTGCGTTTTCGACAATG